TTTGGTGTCTGTGGCCACCTTTGGAATTCTGATAAGATGTAGTGAGCACTATCCAAAAATGGCTGCCACAGAAGGCGGAGCCAAACACAATTGCCTCCCCCCTCGCTTTGCAAAAGAATAGCAAAGGGGAAATAAAAACAAATAAAAGAAAGTCTGAAGGGAGGAAGAAATCTGACTGAAAAAGAAACAAAGGAAAGCCTGGCGGGAGGGAAGGGAGAAGCAGGGGGAGTTAGAAAAAAGGAAGCCTGAAAGGGGGGATGCTTACCAAGCCTCCTGATCCTTCACTGGCTGCTACTGTAGCCATGGCAAATCCTTTCATTTGAAAGAGAGCAGCCAATAACAAACCCAGTTTTACAATGGCCTCACCCACTTTCTGAAAAATTTGGCAAGCACCAAGGGAAATACTGTGGGGTGTTCTAGCTCATTGGATAATGCTATCATAAACTGTTAAGATTATAGTTTGCTACCACAGACAAAGGCAATGCACTGAACTACCAGACATATCACACTGATACAATTTGCTCCCCTGGTTTAGGAAGAGACTGTGAAACCTTGAATCTCCCTGTGTCTCCCATGTCATGAGTAATCCAAAGCATGTCATAAAGGGAGCAATTGAGCCTTTATCATATATACAAGCTCCCCATCCTGTACAAACTGACTGCTCTTCTCACACTTGAGAAACACATCCTAGGACAGCACGCTTCTTTCTGGTATTAACATTGACCGTACATTTCACTCAAAAAAGGTGATTTTGAAATGGGTAAAAGTTACTGCTTGAGCAAGTGGAAGCCCAGGGCAGTCAAAATGACTCAGAACAGCCTGCTCCCAACAGAGACTGACTTAGAAACAGGGGATCATGCAGGGACACAACAGGCAATCTTCTTTGGGGTAGTATTCCCCCCCCCCATTTTACCATCATAGAAATCTCTGTCACCCCCCCCCAATTTTCCATTTCACGAGATCCATATAGACCACAGGTCCATCTATACTCATATGACCTCTTTTGACTGAGGGCAAGGTCCTTTAGACGTTTCTCTGAGGCCTATCTGAGTTTCTTTTAACTGGAGATAATATGGTCTCAAGCCATAAGCCCTCCCTCAAAAAGAGGAGAGGTTAATTTAGTATTAAAAAGAACCCCTAAGTAAAATACCCTTCATTCCTGCAAGTAATTCAATACTAATTGTACAACGATTTAAGCGTGTTCCATCCTTCATGCACTGCCAAAAGAATGATTGGCAAACTTAATCTTGTGTGCCTGCCTTTGTTGTCCTTAATGCTGCAATCAGCCATTCTTTAAAACATTAAATATACTGAAAGAACAAACTGCTGTTTTGAATCAGTTAGAGCAAAATGCTATTACATAAACAGTTTCACAGTCTCTTCACATTTAATGGAGTTATTCAGATTTTTTTTTTAAAAAAAACTTAGTACTTGTCCTGTCAAATTTCAGACACAGGGTAAAAATGATGAATCGTCAGAGCTGGAAAAAGAGAAGGAAAGAACAGAACAAAATATTCTGTGTTTGCTGTTGAAAAATGTAATGGGTTCTGGACTTGGATTTGGGTAATCCAGCATTCAAATCCTCCAAGTCAGCTACAGAACTTGCTAAGCAACCTTGATCCAGTCACTAGTGCTAGCCCACCTTATAGGGATGTTGTAAAAGGTAAAACACATCCAGTACATGACACTAAATTTCTTAAAGGAAAGGTGGCATATACGTATAAAAATGAAAATTATTTTATTATTATTCATTTTATGTTAAAAGTTTTACAATGTATTACTGTGATTACCCAGAAGCAGTAATGGAAGGTTTGACTTCACTTACTGTGAAGCTTCCTTCTCTGTGGTCTAGGAGTGGGGCAGTCCTTACTTCTGGGAATATACTTCCTCCTCTCTGAAGGCAGGGCTGGCAGATGAATTGATCCCAGAGGAGAGGGGCTTGTCCCCTGGATTCCCAGTTGTTTTCCAAGCCATGACTCCCTGAGTGTAATACTGCACGCAAAAACAAACTTCCCCCAACTGAGTACAAGATAACCAACCAAACTCAATCCCCGTAGCTAAGGGAATTACTTGAGAGGCCTGTATTAGAGCCCATCTTGGGCTAACATATCCCTATGAGTACACCTGTCACTCTCAATGAAACAGACACTAAGTCTGAGACAGGAAACTATTCACACCATATGTCGTCGTCGTCCCCCCCCCCCCCCCCGACCTGGAAGCTGTTGTCCTCAACTGGCAGGTAGGACTGCCCCACTCCTGAACCACAGAGAAGGAAGCATCATGGTAAGTGAAGACAAATCTTCCATTCTCCAGTGGTACTGGGAGTGGGGCAGTCCTTACTTTCGGGACATAAAAAAGCCATGTGCCCTGGGGTGGGTCCATTAGCTTTCTGGACTAGAGGATGCATTGTAATACCCTTCTATCAAACTCTACCTTTGTTGAGGCCAGTTTATCCCTTCAGTAGTGTCTTGGAAAGGGGCATACAGATTTCCATGTGGTAGCCTTACAGATTGTTTCTAATGATGTGACCGCCCTCCACAAGGATTGTGTTGTTATGCATCGAGGTGCTGCCAAGGACTTGGTTTGTAGAGCATTATGATTCACCTTCTAATCTACCTACCCCAAATCAAAGTAGAGATTCTCTGACCTATGGATGATTATTTTCAACAAGGATACAAAAATGGTGTCAGACACCTTCCATTACTTAATCCTGTGTAAGTAGTGGCCAAAAGTCCTATAGACCACAAGACAATGCCACTCCCTTTCCCTCTTGGGTTTCGGATGGGGATGGAAGGACGGCAACACTATCCCCAATGACGTTTCTTTCTGGGAATCCAGGGGACAAGCCCCTCCCCTTTGGGATCAATTCATCTGTTGGCCCTGCCTTTGGAGGAGGAGCTATATTCCTGGAAGTAAACACTACCCCACTCCTAGGACCACTGGAGAATTTACTTTTAAGATGAATCCATAATGGAGGTGTAATCCATAGAGTACCTTTCTTGTGGGGTTACTACCACAAAGGACTCTCTGTTGCCAGCTGCTACACCACAAGCCATGGTGGTCTATCTCATCTGGACACCTCAGATCAGCTGGATGCTCCCCGTGCTACTGTTTTTCCTCTGTTTGGGACACTGATGCTAGCAGAAATGCCCAAGTGATGAAGGTTCCCTTTTTCTTTGATGCCACAGAGGAATCACTTTGTGGGGGCATTTCAGAGGGCACTTCTACATTAAGTATGATGCCCATCCCACTCAGTCCTTGTCTCACTCTCTAAGTCCCCAGTGGTCTCTGGTTAGTCCTACAGGGAGGGAAAGAATCAGCAAGCATCCTTCCCCTTGTCCCTGAAGTCCCCTTCAGGGCAAACACAAAAGGAAAAACTTCATGTTATTTTTCTGCCTTTGATCAACAGTTTCTCAGACTCATCTTCTTTCTATCTGACATGTACATGAACACACATGAAGCTGCCTTATGCTGAATTCAACCCTTGGCCTATCAAGGTCAGTATTGTTTACTTGGACTGGCAGCACCTCACCAGGGTCTCAGGCAGAGGTCTTTCACATCACCTTTAACGGGAGACCTTTCCTTTAACTGGGGATGCTGGGAATTGAACCTGAGAGATTCGGCAAGCCAGACAGATGCTCTTCTGTTGAGCCACACACACACACACCCCGGTATTTTTACTTATTTACAGGCTTGTTTCCTTTTCCTTACTCACAACTAACAATTGCTACTCTGGAAAAGCATCAAGGAATCCCTATTCATGTTTGCATTAAGGTTCTCTCCTGCCTTCCTCCTTTGGATTGCCCATACCAAGGGCACACCCATCAGCCTTCCAATCCAAACCCAGCCCCCTCACTGGAGGAAAACCACTACCTCCTCAGCCACTTCCATTGATTCCTATCATGTTTAGGGCAGTGCACACTGAACTAACAGAGCATGCCATGTCTTCTTTGATTAACATATTACAGTTATAGACAACATGTGATAAAGGCTCATTCAAGGTACGAAGACAGCAGGGCAAGAGAGCAAGAAAAGTGAAGCATTGTCTTGCAGAGGATATTAGAGGCACAAGGAGCCTTTTATGTATTGCTGGGAAGTCGCCAGATTCTTATGGTCAGATCTTAGCTTTGTAATTCACCCATCAGAATGAAACAGGAATCCTGAATTATAGGATGTTATGGCCTCTGTGTAAGAGACTGTAAATAGTCAAAAGCAGAACAAATAATATCCAGTGGCAGGGTTACTAATGATTTTTTTTAAATTCTGTGCTGCTTTTTCATTTACTTCCTGGCTGACTGTATATAGGGCAATTTTAAAGAGGGTTCCAAGTTATTAAAAGTGGGACAGAAGAAGCCACGCTTCCAGAATAATTCAATACTTTCTGAGCAACTTTGGGTACTTGCATAGTTCACTTGAAAGGAATCCTGTCTGTGCTGGCAGCATTTTGGGCCCACTGTCCCAGAATGCTACATTTGAGCTGGTTTGTAACTACAAATCATAGGTTAGAAGGTGCAATTTTCAATTACGCCAAAAATGATTCAGCCATACGTAAAGTTGTTTTTATAGAGATGTAAAAAACTTGTCCTCTTTAGTTCCACAGAACTTCTATGATTTCCAAGATGCCATGGATTCCCACAGCAGCTCCAGAATGTCGTGGATAGCCTTACTTTTTAGGTACAGTGGGCACAAATCAGATATGTGTCAAGATGTGCATTGCAAAGCAAATGCTTTCTGTTTCTTCAGTGGCACATCTGAATACAGTGGATTCAGAATAGTTGCTGAACTACAATATCCACATCAGAAATCAAACACAGCCAATTACTGTAGTATTGTTACTCCCATCCCCCAGTTTTGAAGATACAGGAGTTACTGGTGTTTGTCTATATGCTATAAGTGATCGCACCCCGAACCACTTCTACATTATAAGATGGTCTTCAGATCAAACATCTCTGACCATGCACCCTGTGATTGTAAGGTCTCTATGTTATTGCTTTGCAAGTGACCCCCCTCCCATACACACAAAAACTAGTGGCTCCTACCAATGTTAACCTGTAGAAAAAGTATCCCAAAAATCGACTCTAACAGTGTATTTGCATGCAAAGTTTCTCCACTGAAATTATTGGGCTTAGATCTAGCGTAATTCTGCATAGTATTGCACTGTAAAATTAGAGTTAGATGACAAAAATCAGGACTTTAATGCCAAGCCAGCCAACATTTCAAGGTTTGGGGCTTCCTCCAACTCTGGTTATAGTTGCTGTCTTTTTCTGGAGTCTCTCTGGATGTCTGGAAGTGTCACTATACATGCAGAAAAAAAAGTTAACTGCTGATCATGACATCACAGAACCTGTGTGTGTGCAAATTTAGTATGAACACAGGATTCGAATGACTGTAGAAGCCTTCTCTCTGGAAGCTGCATATGTTCATTTGAATGCCTACAGAATGCTGAAGCTTGGAACTCTAGCTGTAGTTATATAAGGACTAGGAATAAGGCCCATTGTGGAAATAAATACGAGATCTAGAAAGAGGCTCTGGGAGAGTGCTCTGGCTTTGGGCAAACAGTGTCAATTTGCTGTGGTGACCTCAGCAGGGTATAATGACAGAGTCCACTGTTTTCTCCAGAGGAACTGATCTCTGCTACCTGAAGAGCAGTTGTAATTTTGAGTGATCTCTAGCCCTCACCTGGAGATTGGCAACAATTGTTACCAAGGACGAAATGGCTGGTTTGGAGAGTGGAGTCTATGGCATTCTACCTGTCTGAGGTCCCACCCCTCCGCAAACCCCACCCTCTCCAGGCTCCACCCCTCAAATCCCCAGGAATTTGCCAGCCTGGAGTTTGTAACCCCATCTCCTTCCCAGCTAACCATCAACCTACCATTATCTGCCACTTTGACTTCAGCTGACTTCTGCCCTCCCTTCTGCAGAGCAGTTGTAATTCTGAGTGGTCTCCAGGCCTCACCTGGAGATTGGCAACAATGGTTCCCCATGAAGGACTGACTGGTTTGGAGGGTGGAGTCTATGGCATTGTACCTGTCTGAGGTCCCACCCCTCCTCAAACCTCACCCTCTTCAAGCTCTATCCCTCAAATCTCCAGGAATTTCCCATCTGGAGCTGGCAACCCTATCACGACTGGCCCCAATGTGTTTTCTCCCAAAGACCAAAATAGGTGACAGGACCAAGCTTAGTTGCCTACCAACAGGCACTGAGGGGAAAGTAGGGTTGCCAGCTCTAAGGAGGGAAATACCTGGAGATTTGGGGGTGGATCCTGTGGAGGGCAGCATTGCGCGTGGGGGGGGGGAAGGACTCAGCAGGTATAATGTCATAAGGTCTCCCCTCCAAAGCAGCCATTTTCTC